GGGGGGGGGAGGGGGGGGAGAGAAAGAGTTAGACTTCCTCTGTTTACTGAAGAACTTGCTCTCCAGCATTCTTTTGTTTACTGAAGGGCAAGCTCTTCAAATTAAAGAAAGTCAATATCTAGTTATCTGGCTGCAAATGTCCTAGTAACGCAGGATGTCTTCGGACGCGCGTAACAAATGTCGCTCATTTTCTTCCACAGATTATAATATAAAAAGGTACAAAAACAAATTTCTAACAAGATATGATCTTCATCACCCGAATGTAGTCATACATTTTAATGTTAAAACATCTCTTCACATCCGAAAAGAAAGTTTTACTTTTAGATTTAGAATAATTTATTGAGGTAAATGAGCAAAAATGCTAACGGTATAAAATATTTCGGCTTGTGTTTGATAATTATCACATAAGATTTATTAAGGTAGTTGTGGAATAGGCATGAACATATGTTTGACTTCTTATTTACAGTAGCAATTTTTATAAAGATCTGAATACACGGTATGTCAAAAGAAAATAGATGTTTACTTTCACACCAAAAAGTATAATAATAATTATAAAAAATTATATTAATATCTTTTGTACCGTGATAAATCAGATTGAGGATATTCATCAAGTTTATATTTGTTATGTTTGTCGCATTTCTCTTTATTTCAGACCGATGCGTCCAATGTAAAACACTGCTACAAAATAATGGGCCATTCCGGTCGTGTCACGTGTGTGGGGCCCACGTGTTCAGGAGGTCAGGTGAGAGGTTATTTTTAGAATCCTTTGGAATGAGCTCGTATACATGTAGCTGAGCTAGTCAGTAAAATATCCAGGGTTCACGCGCCCCGATTTCCATAGCGAAGACGAAGACTTGTCTTATCTCTACTGTGTGATGCAGCGTGTGTTGGTTCTTTTTCAGAAGCTTTTAAACTCAGGGTGGACACTGTTAATAATTTTTCAATCATATCTCGTTAACATGTTTAATCATTTCAGCCAAAGTATAGATGGAAATTGGGTTATGTTTTTCATTTGAATTAAATGTTTCGTTATCAATTATTTTATTCATTCATTTGTATGTTTATTTATGACAGTGCTTTTTCGGAGGGGGGCTGATGCCATGTTGTGATTGATTTTGTTAGAATAATATTTGGCGGAAATGTATAATTCAATAAAATGTATAATTCAATAAACCTATGCAATGGGAAGTTAAGCTTGTGTTAACCTTTAAGTACTCGTTCATAGCGCTACAATGTACTTCTACGCTTTTGTCAAAATACGTTTATAAGATTTCACTTAATTGATTTCTGTCTTTAAATTTTCGCCACAGGGGAACTGCGTCTCGTATTCGCAATTTTAGGGTGCTTTCCCAGAGATTTAGATCGATCTAAAGATTAAGTTTTAGATCGACCTAACTCCCTGGGGGTTCACGCTAAATTGCAGTCAGCCGAGCGGGCACCATAGTTAATTACCCCCTTACAGCTTTTAGTAGGCGGGACAGACGCGTAAGCCGGCCAAGCTGACGGTAATCTAGTGAGACTCCCCACAGGGATAGATCGATCTAAAAATCTATGGAAATGGGGTGTTACAGTAGACACAGCGTAACTCGACGCATTATAAGTGGAATTATCGGCTTTAGGCCCTATCAAACAAATCCTGTGGAATGGATTTTTTTTTTGTATTAACTGAAAAATCTGCCTAACACCCTAACTCAAATCTTAGCGTGCTCGAACAAAATTCCGACCTCAAAGTGTACGAAATGAGCAGAATCTGATGCATTTCTACTATGACACGCGTACGAGAATTTTCAATTATTAAGTTGCACGGTGGTTAACCAAATCTTCATTACTTTTAGATGAGGGTTGGACGAAAATGGATTCGTCTCTTCGTTTCCTGGTATGGGTAGCGGTAGTCGAGTTATTGACGGGAACAGTCAGCGTAGGCTGTGGGCTGGCGATGTCGGTGCTCTCTCGTCACAATCTAGTGTGGCCGCTTACATCCTTCGCCCCGATATGGACGGGGACTGTAGTAAGTTCCAATTCTTCCCTTTTTCACCGCTATCATCACCATCCCAATCCTCATCTCCTGACAGATATGAGATTGTACTTCCCGCGTGAAATTAAACATGTATGAGCGGAACAATCCCGAGAGTGCTAAACGGAGCGCGCTTTGCTGCCCCGCCCCCCCCCCTCATCCGCCCTCTCCCCCTCTCTCTCTCTCTCTCTCAGAGTTAAAGCCGCTGTTTTAGTAAATTGTAGGCTTATATTAAAATATTCGTTCGTGTTTGTCTTTGCCCTTTACTTCTAATTAAACTAAATAGTCCCACTTATATCAATTATAGCCCATTTGTCTGTAGTCATACGTCCCGTGTTTTAATTTCAGATAATGATCACTGGTATTGTTGGAATGATGACTTATACACAGAAGAGAAGTCCTCACAACTTGAAACTTCGCAAACTGGTACATGTTACTTAATAACACTACGTTAAAGTTTAAATGCAGCCATGTGGATAGGCCTAAAGGCATTTTTATCATTTGTGTTTTTATATAAAAAAGTTGTTTAGGTATTTAACAGAGTAACACAGGTGCTTGTACAAGTTGGTTTGCTTCAACGAGCTTACAGGAACATATTTGAAGGTCATGTATCTGTAGTTTGACCATTTTATCTTAATTTTTAATTGTAATTTTTTTCCAATCAAATTCAATATTTTGAATATAATATACGGTAACGTTCTTTAATTATTTTAACACACGTACTAACTGCAACGCTGGGACCTATCTTGAACATCTTGAATCATTTTCAGGTTATAGCACATGTGACGCTATGTCAATTTAGCGTCCTTCTCGGGGGATTTAACGTCGCCTACGGAGCCTGGGTCCTCTCTGCCTGCGACGCCGGCCGAATATGCAACTCGTCAGGTGGCGCTTCGAACCATAACGTGATGATAGCCCTCAGCGTCGCGGTCATTGCTGTCGGTTGCGCAATGACTTTGGTAAGCGGCTTGACGACAATGGCTACTTGTCTCTGTCGAAGACGATTTGGAATCGGATCAACGAGTGGAAGTTGTTATTGATTGCACTGGAGATTTCCCATGTTGTCATACATTTCTGAACTCTATAATCGCAATCATATGCAGGTTTAGTGGAAATTGTGTTAGAGAAGATCCATGACACATAATTGTACTTGGACACCCGTCGCAATATTCCTGAACTTCACAACTGGAGAATTAGTCCCAGTCGTTAGTTAAATGGCAGTCTGTGATAATCTTTTTGAAATACTGGATTTTATTCACGGAAATGCAAGGCAAAACACCCTGAGTTGCAGAGGGCACTAAAAACTTACCTTTCTTCTATCAGCATACCTCTGCTATTTTCGATGTCTGTTGAATCTCGGGGTGGCAGAAACGGACAGTCACCAATTCTTAACCATTGGCTTTGGAGTCTTAGGGAAAGGCTATATTCCAATATGCAGAGGTGTACAAGTGCATTGCCATACAAGGGACCATGTAAAATATTGATGCAGGGGGTCTGTTTTGCTAAGAGCCTTTAAAGTGTTTGAGAATGGCTTGGGCTGCTTCAGTCAGATGCAGAGTTGACTTTGTAATGTTAGTTTAAGGCCGCATTCAGAGCAGTGGAATAACTAGTCCGAGGGTCATATATGGCCGACCCACTTGAATGCTTCCCCACGGGGAATCTATTCAGTGTCTATAAGCGGATAAGACGGGAAGCTTTTTAGTGGGCCGCAATATTTGACATTCGGACTAGTTAGTCCACTGTTCTGAATGCGGCCTAAGATTGTTTTATAGACGGTTATTCCGGCGGGTTTTGGTTACCACTACTACAGGTAAAAGTCAATGGAGCCTTGAAAATATATGCTGTTTGAAGAGCTCCTGTTAATTTGCAACGTTCACTTTTGTAGAATTGATATCAGACAAGAAGAAAGATTGTTTCGATTATTCAAGTTAAGTGGAATTTTTGTGGTTGTTTTAAATTGTTTTCCATTAAGCTGGACTATAGATTTCGTTTTCTGGCTAGTAATTTTAAGTCAGACCTGAGACTAGAAATTGTCTGATGTCTACTACCTCGACTAGTGACTAGACTAGTGACTAGTGGATTGAAAAGTTTTGAGGCGGAAACTGAACAGGTCTGTCGCCATTAATAAAAAGTGAATCTAATATTAGAAAACTGTCGTGTCTGTAGAACCTTAGCATACGCCTATATTGAGTTTAGGCTGGGCGAAGGAGAGTGAAATTGCAGCATAGCTGTTTTTGGATCAAGGATTTGACTACCAAGTATATATATATATATAATTTGAGTTATACGACTGTTGACCAATTTCATGTAGACTGAGTTGAACTTGTGCAATACAGCATGTTTAATTGTTGAATACAGTGTAGTAATTGTTGAATCGAAATATTGTATTTTTACAAGTATTTTTGTGAGTAGAATTGTGTTACAGATTTCATCAAAGGCCACAATTAATTATATTGATAATAAAAATATGTTAACTAAATGAAAATTACAGTTACTGTTTTACAGTATATTATTTTGAAAGTGTTGCTACCTTGGAGCATTTTCAGTAAATGAACATGACCGGTGTAACGTGATAGAGAGTCCCCCATGAAAGAGAGTGCGCTTTATATTTATTTATTTGTACAGGTAAGCCACGCCCTAGATTTTGACCCACTTACCCTAACCATTATAACTATATGGAAGTCGGACTTTCTGTTACAGGGACCTTCAGTTTCGTTACGCCGGTTCCATCTTCACAGACGGCAACAGACACCTTGACAAAAAATTTGTAAGAATACGTAAGATTTTCAGTTTAAGAATATATAAAACTGTGTTTTAAATTAGCCTATAGAATTCTGCGACGTTGGCCCCATGCCAAATACCAGTTAAACTGAACCTGGACGGGCCAGTAATCTTTTTCCATTATTATCAGTTTTTTGTCACTGTGTCTACTTTGAACCAATAGATGCCTACACTTTTCCTTATTCTATAAACTATAAGTTACTATAAGTAACTGGCTCGCGCTGCCAGTAATTACGCGGCGGGATATTCAGTGCACAGACCGTGATCATAAGACATACCGAAAATAGAAAATAGAAAATAGACATTGCATGTGAACGAAGCCTTATATTCAGTCATTTAACCGATGTAACCAATACCTAATTTATTGTAAAATATACCAAAAATTAAGTAGAACAAAAATAGTTGCTATAATGGGATCCCCGGACTTCCATTTATATTGCACTGCGGTCCCAGAAATAGCCAGGCCCGTAGCCCGGGGGGGAGGGGGGGGGTTCGAAAGAAGCGCTCCTTTTGCTGGGAAAAGGGCCACTCGGGTAAAATTTGATCTAGGNGGGGGTGGGTTCGAAAGAAGCGCTCCTTTTGCTGGGAAAAGGTCCACTCGGGTAAAATTTGATCTAGGTACATGAAGTTTTTATGGGAAAAGGTCCACTTTTTCAGAAAAAGAACCCCCCTTTTGAAATTGCTGGCAACGGGCCTGATAGCGTACCGGTATGCATTCAATTTACAGCTACGTGATATCCAAGCTTCTTGCTTGAATGTGTAGGCCCTATGTCATGTACACCTGGCCAAGGCCATACTCATGCAACTATTACATAAGCCCAGCCTTTACCTTGATCTTTTATCTTTTCTGAATAACAGTTTGCTTTACGGTTCATAGCCGACTCCTGTTGCTGCCGACCTATCGCCCTGGTCGCAATGTGACAAGTGCGCGTTTCCACTACAGTGGGAGTTCAGCCACAACAGGGACACCAGCGCTCAGTCAAATAAGAGCGTTTCAACCCAGAAGACGGCAGCAGCCAGCGATGAGCGAGGGCGGTAGGCTAACCATTTGATCAATTGTTTTAACAATTTTATTAACTGGTATAGAAAATGAGACCTCTCTTGCAACGATTTGGCTGTTATTACCCAGTGTTACGTGGTTCTTTCTTGTATATGTAAGGCGATTGTTTAGAACTGAAAGTGCGTGAAACCAGGGCGAAGCTGAGAGTCCGCCCACCATTGGATTCATAAAGGTTAAGGCCAGCGTGACGTACATGTAAGTTAGTCAAAATCTAGGATGGGACTTACCTGTAAATATCAGTGGGAAATATAAGGACTCTTTTGAACATTACAACGAGACTCCAAATACTTCAGTACGTGGCGTGTCATGCGTGGCGTGTCTGGTTCTTTACAATCAAGGTCTATAGTAATATTAGTCGAGCTATCTCTTTTAAAGTACGATGTCCAGCTCTTGACAATTTTAATGCTTAAAAATATTTAAAATAACTTATGTTCCATATTACAAATAAGTCTCGAATTCGGAGTGTAGAGAGAAAAACAAATCTTTTGTTGATTCATCCTTGAACGGGGTCACGCTGGTTTAATATATGGACAAGGTCAGGATGCCGTTTGCCTTGAAAGAATATTCGTTATAAGATGCGTACGCTAGCACGAGAGAGCTTGGTTAAATAATGAAGGAGTTCATGTTATTTTTGGCAATACGTTTGTATATGTAGAACACAATCAGTTTAAGAGTGAGAGTAAAATGTTTCTGTAAAAAAAAAAAGTGAAATGAGACAAAACCAAATAATTTTGCGTATAATTGAATTATAATAGAACTGACATTGTCTAGTATTTCACGTGCCGAACGAAGCGCTGCAAAATGTCCCAAAGCCATATTTTGTCTAAATATCCCGCAAAAATTACCTTTCCCAATTCAGGGACTAAAAGGTAAAACATCTCAGGCACTAAAAACATAAAGCATCTCAAGTGCAAAGGTAAAAGTAGGCCTACTTTATGTCGATATTTAATTTTCTTCTGAATGTCAGGAAGATACGATTTGCCAATTAGGATTAAGTTATTTAATTAAAGTGGCACAAAGCATCATATTTAAGTGTAGGGGCGGGACGAGTACGTAGGGACGGCGATGATTCGCGAGAAGGAGAAAATTGCTTTTTTTTCTAGAAAAAAATATGATTTTGCACGAAAATTCCGCATAAAATACCCTTAGTGGAATTATATGAAAATAAAGACAATAGACTGAGATTATACCCTAGGTCATGTTATTTAAACAGTTATGTTCCATAAGTTTAACTGTTCTTTAACTGAAGGAGAGAGGAGTCAAGGTAAAGTTCAAAGATTAGCTGAAAGCTATTAAACACTGTAAGGTGCACAATAGAGAAAAGTCAGCTCGCACGACACAGCCCTAAGTAGGTCAAGCCACGCTTGCGTAATTCGGTCAGCAATCTGGCCTTTTATGTATGTACTGTTGTATGCGCTGTAGTCTATTTTACCTATAGAGTAGGTATTTTCAGTTTGTAGTTCGAAACCTTTTACGAAAGGGCTGACTTACCCAAGGACATAACTTTAAGAAGTTGCGTTCATATGAAAAATATTTTAAAAAGAGTTTTCCTTCCTTTTTACTTTGATGCTCAGCAAGGAAAAGGGTACGCAACTGGTAAAGACGTAGTTACCAGTAGTTGCCTTACAGACGAGGAAATATTCGTTCATCTGAGATTTCACGACAATCAAGAGGAAAAGAAAAAGAAAGTCCATCTGTTTGTAAATTAACAGCTCTATAGCTATACTTGCGGAAAAATACCATCCCGGAGTCATGGCAGACACTCAACTTACAGGTATTACTGTAGTTATGCAGTTAATTAATTAATCATCCCTTTTTAGTGGCAACATAATGAAAGTGGGAGAAATATAAAAATGTACAAAGGGATTACATTTACTGAAAAGTAAATATAATTTGTGAAGCAAATCAAAAGGTTAGTCATTATTTTATGTGTATACTATCAGAGCGCTTACTGGACATTAGTGCAGATCGTCTACGTTTTTTAAGTTGGCACTGGTATCGAACGACTCGGGTAACTGAGAAAAAAATATGGGATTCGCCTTGCGCTTACATCCCAGACTCGCATGTAGCTCCAGAGGCGTCGCTCTTGTAGGATCTGGTCACTACATGTACATGACGGTGTACTAGATAGGGAGGCGTCAAAAAATGCTATTCTCTGGAATACCAGCGTTTTGTTGGATTTACATATACCATTCACGGATTATCGGGATAACATTGTTCGATCGCTTGTATTGCAGCTAGGCCCACAGCTTTATTCCGAGTCAGGACCATAGCCAGGGGTGTTCGGGGGGTTCGAAAGAACCGCCCTTTTGCTGGGAAAATGTCCACTCTGGATAAAACTTGATCTAGGTACATGAAGTTTTCATGGGAAAAGGTCCACTTTTTCAGAAAAAGAACCCCCCTTTTGAAATTGCTGGCTACGGGCCTGCGAGTTTTCACTTTACAAAAATTCAATCGTCCACAAATGGACACGCCCCTTCCTCTCCCCTCAATCATCTAATGGCTACTCAGCTCGAGGAATTGTATCTAAATTCTTGGTAAGCTGAGAAACAGCCCTGTTAGAGAGACAAAGGGATTAAGAATTAACCCCCCTTAATCACGCGCTTTTCCAGCGGTGATCGAGAGAGGGTCTTGGTTGGCGGAGTTTTGCTTGAAATGCAAGAAATTGCGGTTATCAAGGCAATTTTTTAGAAAAAAGGGATATTGTTAATTAATTACTTATCTTGTCGTGGACAAATATAGAAAAAAATCCAGATATCACAAACCAGGGTTTTCGTTACCCTCTACCAGGGCCGCAGTTATTTTTGTGGACATTTTTTGCTGAGGCGACATCAGACCAAAATGACTGTCTATTTATCTAGAGACATATCTGTGAATATCTGCGAAAAATCAATCTGTCGCCCTGGTAGAGGGTAGGTTTTCCCCAACAGTGGCGGATTAAGGGGGGGGGGGGGGGTTAGGGGGGTTCTGACCCCATTTTGAATTCTGAAAAAAAAAAACAAAAACAATATTCCCCTCTTGATACAGTATTAGAATTTTGAAGAGAAGAATCAGTTATAAACTGCACCAAATGGCACCACTGCTCTTCGAACCCCACACCAAGGGGGAAAGGACCGGCTTAGCATCCGAGGACTGTCATTTTTGAAAAAACTGGACCCCCCCCCTTTCAAATAATCCTGGATCCGCCCCTGCCCATGTCATTAGATCCAGTTTCCATTGATTTTTACATGTAAACCCTGTCCCAGATTTTGACCTATGTCAGTTAGCCCTAACTTATACGAAGATTCCCCCCTACCACGTGTGNCCTCAATACCACCACGCTTCTACACGTACAGGTATGTAAATCGAGGTGCAATATATCAAAGGCTTTTTTTCCATATCTCTTTCAGAGAAGGTCGTGTTTTGCATCCGCTGTGGCACAGAGCTGCTGGGGACCAGCTCCAACTTCTGCCACCACTGTGGCGCCCCCTCACTGCAGGATACAGGTGAGCACGTGACCCACGGCTTACTAGTACTTTATTTACAGAATTTTATCTCCAAAGGATTTAGCTCTGCTTGTACATTTCTTTAGATACACGTCGACTTTTATAGTTTGTGTAGATCTCCGTCTACTTTATCATTTGTTATAAGTTTAATTGATAAAACAAAAATCCCATTTGAATAAATAATTTAATAGAGAGATGAATTAATAGATAAAGTTCAAACAAACAGAAGGAACATTTTTGAAACTTTTAATAAGTGGGAATGTATTTTAGAAAGCGTAAAGGTCAAAAACGATGTCAAATATAAAATAAAATAAATAAAATATTTGTAAAAATTAATTGATAAAATGCTTGGGAGTTTGTAAAATAACTTACATTTTATGCCTCTATAGCTCAATTGTAATCCGAGTTTGAGTTTAACTCAACCTGTATCATGAATTTCTAGGTGGCCGCCAGAGGGCGATAGAGAGGGCAATCACGCACCTTGTTCGTCTGTCCCTCTGTCAGATAGGGACAGGGACAGTCAGTGTCATCGTGGGCATTGTCATGTTAAACTTTGCTCTTCCCACTGGAGGGTGGCCCCTGGTCTCTGGATCTCCCATATGGTCTGGTATTGTGGTAAGTGGAGATTGGTTTATTTATTTATTCATTTATTGGTTTGTTTTTTTTTTGTTTGCTGGATAGTTATTTAGTTAGTAAGTCTGTTTATTTATTTATTTATTTATTTATTTATTTATTTATGGCCTTTATTCAATTATCTATTTTCATTTATTATTATTATTTTCAATTTCTTTAAGCTACATTAAAGACATAGGAGCTTGGAGGGCCTATGGGGGATTAGAGGTTATCATACGCATAAAACGAATGGGGGGGGGGGGGGGGCAAAGGAAATCCTCCACCATTGCTATTTTTCTCTTAATAAGATAGCTTCTCTATTTACAATCTAGGATCCAACAGGTCTTACGTTGCATAATTTAAGAATACTGCTGTTTACTTTCACTTTGTCATAACTTTTATACGACAGTTAAAAACGTTGGCAGAAGTAGGCAGAGCTTCATAGGCTTTCACTTTCACTTTTCCATCATAGGTGGCAGCAGCTGGTGCATGCGGCTTTGCCACAAAATACAATACCTATAAAAGTGTCCACAACAGGAAACTAAGATCTCTGGTAAGTACTCATGATCAGTATTTTTCTATGCAAAAGAGATCTGTTTACCAATTGTAGTTTTGCAATAAAGATACAGTATGTGCCTTTGTATGTTTTAACATGGAAATAAAGAAAGTGTGTAATTTGCAGTTTTGGTCTCAAAGCATTTTCTCTAAAATTTGATGCCCGACTCAGTCACGAAGCACATGTTTCCATAACCGATTTCTTTGATTTTTTTCATTTCTTTAATTTTTCACTCACACTAATATCTTAGAAATATCACCAACAGAGCGGATGGACCAAAACGATCAGAATTCAGTTCAGTATCACTGAACCAATAATTCAATTTTTTCCAGGTACTGGCCCATTTTGGCCTGAGCAACTTAGGAATCACAATGTGTGCCTTCAACATAGCCTTCACAGGTTGGAGCCTGGGGGTATGCCAGGGGTGGAAAGAAGACCAATGCTTCCCCAACTTCAACCAGAACCTTGTTATGGAGGGGGTTAACCTTGTGGTTGGTCTGATGGCGGCCATATTCTCTATCATCGGCACCAGTTATATTTGCTGCTTTGGGCGCAGGTTCGACGTGATGGTAAGACCCGGGTACTCGCGAGGGGTGTATTATGGGAGCCCCTCCCATCAACTCCAGGTCTGATTGGCCGGCTCTGTTCTGAGAGCCCTATTCTAGCTGAAAGCCATTTTCTGATTGGTGCAGATGATTTGTTAACTCTGTTATGACTGGACTATGAGAAGGCAATTGGCAGACTTTTCCTCCTAAACTTCAGCATGATGATGATGAATAAAATAGAAAGATCTCAACTACACAAGCTGTGAAATAATATTTATTTACTCAAAGCTTGTGGATGTCATTGCATGGACTCTCATAGACAAATAATAATAATTTGTCTGATTTACTACGTAGGCTAGCACTTTTCCAATTGACACTTTTTCAGAGGTCGACCTCTGTATTACATTGTATCATTTAGTGTACAGTTAGTGTACAGTTTAAGTTGTTTGGGTAGTGTCTCACTTATAACAATAAGCTATTTAGGAAATTAATGTTGATAAAAAGACAAAATGTATAAATAAATGTAAAATTAAACCTTTGTAGACAATGCAGTGTTACATGTAGGCCTATATGTGTTTGTTTTATTTTTTGGACAAAACTCTGAAAACACCAATTTTTAAATTAAAATTACATTTCATTTAACATTTACATTTATATAACATTACATAATACATATTCTTACTGTAATTGAATGAGGTTTTTCTTGGGTTAAATTAAACTATAGTTTTTTCCAACTTTGGTTTAAAGTTGTTACATGTAAGCGACAGAGGCCTCACAACTACTTTTAAAGATGATGCTGTTGAAAGTCCTACAAAACCCAGTCGACACAAACCATGTAGAAACGTACGTTTACTTTGACCAGATGCCAGATAAATACTAGAAATAATTATATATAATCATGTATAACATGAGCAACAAATAATTATAACTTACAATTATAACATAAAGCAAATAATTATATCAATTATAAAATGTTAAAAAACAATAAATTCAATTATATCATGTAAAAATTAATTACATAAAGCATAACACAAAACAATTTGTAATATCAAGCATCATTACCCTAATGTAAGCAACTGATTCAATGTCAAAATCTTAATTGCACACAAAAAGAACACTACACTTTTATATAGTGAAAGTTAAATTTTCACAGAAATTTCAGCACCATTCTTATCATAAACATTAAGGCAAACGTGTACCCTTTCAAAAAAAGGACCATACTTATATGTTTTGGAATTTTAAATTGTTGGTTTTTATTATCATGAGAGAAATTTACAGTTCCATCTCTTGGTAACAAGAGCAACTAAAAATTATTTTTTCAAAATATGTGCATTTATCACAATCACATTAAGCATTGCATTTGTTTATCTTTAACAAAATGAGCAGCACTGCACACGACTACAATGGTATATTGATTTATGACAGCAATCAACCTGGACTTGCAAAAATTCATACATAACAGGTGTGGTTGAATGACCCGTTTAATACTATAAACCCTCATGCACTGGCATATTCTGTTCAGTAAATTTCTTAATACTTGTTATGGACGACTAGGAATAAATATTTAAAAACAACAATAACAACTTCTGAGTGGAATACTGGTATAATTAACAGAAATAAAACAACATATACAGTACCATCTACATTCATTTGAATAAAGGACAACTGATTTTACATATTAAGTTTTGATCTTAGATAATTACTTGAGCATACAATACTTTTAAATTCTTTCTTTGAAAGTTGCTTGTAAGCATTGATAACTTTGTCCTAAGATGTTTTCAGGACATATGGTAAAGTTTGCTGAAAATGTATTGATTTCAATCTCCAAATAAACAATACTGCCATTATCATGTTGGATCTTTATTAATTGAGCGAATGACTGATTGCATGATTGATCTATGATAAACTGAATACTGAAAAATTGTTATTTTCTTACAGAGACATGTTTACATGTAGTCAATTAAAGCACTGGAACAAGCATGGAGGGGGGGGGGGGCTTTTACCATGAAACTTTCTTGTACCTAGATCAAACTGTACCAAGAGAGGACCTTTTGCAAAGTTAAAGTGTGGTTTGTCCAACCCCTTGACCTCCCTACATGTAGTCATGTGTCTGGTACATATTCAAATCTCAGCCATTAGGCCGATCTTGCACAAGGCTTCCCGCGCAACCACCTGTCTTGCAGAATCCTCACTGAAACAGGCTTTTCCTTTAACGACAACTGGGAATTTGACACTACTTACAAATTTCTTCTCTGCAACAGGAACAGTTTCATATGTTGGTGGATTAAGTTGAATTGCAGGTTGTTCAAACAGTCGGTTTTGGATGCAACAAATTTCTTGCAGCTTGCCCTTACATTGGTTCAAATCACTAGGAACTTCTGCATCAGAGAGGAGAGTTTTCAGGGCAAACTCTGCTGCCTTTTTCTCTGCATCTTTCTTTGTAGGATACCCATGTTCCTCTGAACTGATGATGTACCTGAATTCCACTACTGCCAAGACCCCCTTTTTATCTCCAGCAGCATGAACTCTGTATTTGGCTGGGTCAAGCTTTTTCTCAAGCAGATGAGTGTCCAATGTCTCGATCATATTTTTCTCTGGCATTTCATCCATTTTAAGCTGTTTCATGATAAAATAGGCATTAGACGCTGCACTCTGATTAGCCAATTCTTCAGTAGGTCGTGCCTTTCCTTGAATGCTTATCATCATTTGGTTGTTTAAGTAGAGAGAAAATAGATAGGAACTGAACAAATCTGGCTCAGAAAAACTTTTGCAAGTGAAGAAAATTGGCTGGTCTCGCCCAGGCTGACTTGTGCAATATTCGATAAGGGCACCCTTTTTATTACCACCAGGTGGCACTACATGCTGCAGGGAATCTAAAGCTTGTCCTGCCACATCTTGTTCAGCCATCTTCTTACTGGACTTACCCTTTGAACTGGCCATCACGTACTTGCAAACAAACTGGACAGACGAGAGAAACTGACCACCTGGGGGTGCCACTGTTTTTCTATAATTGGGCATAGGGCATCCTATTCTAAGCAGCAAAGTTTCAATGTCCCTCATTGCAGTAGATGTGTCTACATCTGGTTCAGGTGATTCTCTGTTTGGGGAGCCTGAAATTATGTGCCATAGCACCAGATATTCTGCATTAACTGGTTTATTAATCAATTAATTAAATTCTATCATTTTTGGTCAAAAAATTATAATAATAATTATTTAAACATATGAAAATTGAATATAAAGAAACAGTATGTGTGCCCAACAGGCCCGTAGCCAGGGGGGGTTCGGGGGGTTCGAAAGAACCCCCCTTTTTGCTGGGAAAAGGTCCCCTGTGGGTAAATTTTTATCCAGATACATGAATGTTTCATGGTAAAAGGTCCACTTTTTCAGAAAAAGAACCCCCCTTTTAAAATTGCTGGCTACGGGCCTGCCCAAGATACCAGACTCGGCATTTACCTGCAGTGACCCTACTGGTATGCACATTTTCACCACTCACAGATGGAGCCACTGTCTTCAATGGGTCACATGATTCAGGAGCAGAAGACAACCCCAACTCTCCCAGCATGTTCAGGATCTTCTCTGCAGCATTTTCCTTTGCAGAACTAATATCTGGACAAGGGTTGCTTTTATCTGTGATCTTGATCTTGCTGTTTGTGAGGTAGTCACACCTCAGAATGCAGTTGAACTCTGTCCCTGTGATTAAAAAAAATGGCAAAGAATCTTGATTAAATTTTGATAAGTGGGGTTCTTCCAGCTGAAAGGGTGTTGGTCCTTTTAAACCCCTCCCATAAAAACAAACTACAGAATTTTTATCCACTTTAATGAGCTAAAGAAATATAAAATTATTGCAACTTGAACAAGGAGATAAAAAGAAATCTAATGAATATATAACAGTACCTTCGCCATAGCTGTAATAAACTGGAAGAACTTTATTACTACTTTTGCTGGAGCAGTAGCGATAAAGAATTTCCTTTGCCTTGCCACTATCTGACTGGTCAATATTCATTGCCTTCAAAGCAAGCTCAGCCACAGCTTGTTCTGCTAGTTTCTTAGACGTGGAGGTACCTTTGGTGCGGATCATATGATCACCTTCTATGGTTACCCTGTAGATGACCTCTCCTGTTTTCAAATTTGATAGGTCAAAATGTGGCTCTTTCCAATGCTGACTGGCTGAAAGCCTCTGCAATGCCTCCAAAGAATTTACAGATGGGTTTTTGAGTTCTGATGAATTACTTGTATGTGATTCTGGTGCTGCTTTACTACCAGGCGAGATATTTGGTGATTGCTTGGATTCTACAGGAAAAAAATGAAAGTTTTCTTATGACATATCAATGGTAGGAACATTGCTACATGAAACATTCATTAATCAAGTAATGAAACTACATACTAGAACATGCACATGTAACTTTGATTGGGCTTACATTTCAATATTTAATTAGTCTTGCTATAATAACAAATTCTACACCAGGGCCCAGTTTTATAAAGGACGTTTAGCACTAACCAGTGTTTAACTCTAACCAGACCTAAATAGTCTGTTAGTAAAATGACCTTTAAATAATTATTTAATCCAGTTTAACACTGGCCAGTTAACAAATTGGCTGTTTTCCGTCAGAAGACTGTATATAAAACACAATTTAACCATCTTTTAGTTAATGGGTGTTAGGGGAATTTATCCACTGGTTAGGCTTATCCACTGGTTAGTGCTAAACGTCCTTTATAAAACTGGGCCCAGGCTATTACAGTACATGTACATATGAGAGTCAGCTAAATGTGACCCTACACTTGAAACAAACAGTAAACTGAATTAATTTTGATAGGTCCAAACAGTTGGAAGAAAACTTGAAAAAAAGAGAGCAAAACCTCCCATAGTGTAAATACGAGTAAATAAAAGCTAAAACATTGCCATACAGAATTTTGTACATGTACAGTAAGTACAGCACACAATGTGAAATGGTCCTCCATCATTCTCAGCCAGAGACGCACCCGATTGTTCTCCCAGTCTTCCTAACTGCTGCAATGCCACCCTAGCAGCATCCTGCTCTGCAGCTCTCTTGCGTGGATGGTTTTGACTCTCGCTGCAATACGTCTTCCCTTCTACAGTGACTTTGGAACCATAACCTAAAGTCAGACATTCATTGTACACGTACAATGTATACATGTCACTGTTTTTTAATGAAAAGATTATAATATGTATGGTACCATTCCCTGTACATTACAAATTAGTAGTGTGCTGAACTGTAAAATGGAAAGCGTACAAATTCCACCTACATGTAACAAAAAGTCGTAAGACAAGATCATCATAGGTCTTTGCTACACCTGAGGGGTAGAAGTAACCCAGCTATGTACACACCAATTCCAGGCAATATCCAAAGTAATGTTACAGTGCATAAATTACTTTAAAACACTTAAACAAAATTTTCCAATAACACTATCAATAGTATCATACAGTATATTTTATTTTTCGCTTGAGATGATATCTCAATATCTTAAAAAATGAATAGAAACTCAGTGTCATTATCTCAACAACCAAACTAACAAGATGGTTTTTCATTTTTCTAAA